ATTTCCTCCTGAGGTCAAATTACCCCAGAGACTGCCTGGCTCCTGGTTCATACTCTGTGACAGGAGGGCCCGGCCTCTCCAGGTGGTGTGGGGTCCAGCTGATCTGAGCGCCATGCTGGCGCAGCACCCGGACCCTGGGGAGTGTCCCACAGTCTCAGCCTCATGGTCGGCTAGAAGCACTCCTCCTTTCTGCTGGCTCTGTGGCCCTGGCTGATGTCTTGATCGAGTGGCCAAAGCCGAGCTGACCATCTGGAGGGACAGGCAGGAGCAGCTTGGGGCCTCGCCTGTGACAAAAGTTGCCTTTGACCTTGGCCAGACCCAGAGAAGGTGGGAGAGAGGGGTGTCCGTGACCACTAGGCCACAGGGAAATGGGATGCTGCCACATTTTGCCACGGTTAAGGACACCGATGAGGACAGTGACAGGAAATGCTGTGGTCCTGGAGGGGATGCCAACTAGCTAGGAGGCCACAGCTGGGTGGCACCTGGAGAGACACCCCTCCTTCGTGTGGGGCAACAGGACTAGGAGGCTCCTGGCCAGTCGGACAAGATGGGCTCCTTCTCAGGAACTAGAGGCGTGGGCGAGGCTCCCGGCTTAGGGTCCTTTCCATAACACTGTGTCTGTCCGGCCATGGACCCCTGCCCGGGGAGCGTGCCCATCAGTGCTGGGCAGAGAGCCCACTGGGTGCTCGGGAGCACAGAGGAAGGGGAGAGGTCCAGAGAAAGTGTGTGGAGGAGGTGACATGTGAGCCGGCCTTTTAGGTGGAGACGAGGAGAAAGCGGTCGTCCACTTCCCCATCTGCCCTCACTTTCCACCCCCGACGGCAGAGTGGAACTGCTCCCGCTGAGGTCATGCTTGACCTTAGTGTGGCAAGTGCGGTGGGTGAGCGTGGGGGTCACACTCGACACCGCCATGCGCTTCTCCTTGACTGCTGCTTCCCTTCCTGTCTCCCAGCCGCGCCTCCTCGGCTTCCCAGTGACTTCACCGTCTCTGTGACTTCATCTGTCCCTTTCTCTCTGCTAAGCGTCTGCCCATCCATCCATCCATCCATCCTTCCATCCTCCCATTCTGCCCCCGACCCAGAGGACCCAGGTCCCAGAGGACCCTTCCCACTCCATCTAGGTGGGGGCACCTAGCTGGCTCTCTCTGCCCAGACTTCTCCTCTGAGCACCACCCACCCTCCTGTCTACTTACTGGACACCTCTGCTTGTCCCCCAGCTGTCCCCAACTCAGCCCATCCCTGGTGGGATTCATGGCCTCCTGCAGTTCCCACTGTGTGACTCACACCTCCCCTGACGGGGCATTCAGGTCAGGGCTGGGACTCCCTCCTGACTCTACCACTGAGCGCTGCCGAGCCTCAGCCTGAGAAGTGACCGGCGCATCTCCCTCTCCCAGCCCCGCCTCATGCCTCGGTCTGTCCGTCTCACCTCTCCCTGGATTACTACCATTGCTTCCTAACTCACCTCCCAGTCCCATCTCGCATCCTCGCGGCAGGGACCATTACTTGTCTCTTCAAGTCCGATCTCTTTCCCTTCCTTAGTTACAGAATCCCAAGCTTTTGTCAGTGACGTGGCCCAGGATCTAAAAACATTCGCCAGCTTCTCTGGTGGTGAGGAATGCCATATAATTGAGTTCTGTAAGAAGATAGGAGCAGAAGTCTTCTTAAGATGGAAAAGCTGCACTCAGCTTCCCCCTTACTCTATTTTTGCTGACTGGAGGAGCGTAGATATGGGGGCTGGAGCTCTAGCAACTCTCTTGGACTATGTGGGCAATGGTCTTTCACAACTGAAAGAATGGCCTCTAGGGAGTGTGTCAGTCCTACTACTGTGTATGGACCTCTTCAGTGCCAAAGGGAGATGAATGTCTAACTTTGAGCCATCACGTCTCAGTTATTTGCAGCAGGACATAATTCTAGCCGAGTGTCTTATACTGAGGGGCATTGCTGCCCATGTCTGCCGTGGGCGCCCACTATTTCAGCACAGCTGAGGCCAATCTCAACCGTGCTGGGGTTGTTTCAAGCAGGTAGGGCTTGTTCAAAGCCACAGAAGGCCGCTCAGGCCCTGCCCAGACACAGTCTGGAAGGGAAGTGGGTGTAGGAGAGTGAATGTCTCCTGGGAACAATTCTCAAGCTGGGGGGATCGAGGTTGATGACAACATGAGGCTCATTAGTGGTTCCTCAGAGGGTCCCAGCAGGCCCGGGTCCTCAGTGCCCATAAAGTTAGCTGGCTCAGCCGCACAACCTTACTCCTTCTGCCTTCCCTGGCTGGGCTGGTTCTTTCCACCATCGCGGCTGCTTCCAAGGTGACCCCTCGAATAAACCCCTTCCACCGAGACACTCTTGTCTCGGCAGTTGGTTGAACCCTCAGGGCGCTTCCTAAAACGTAGCTCTGTTCCTGCCCTTCCCCACCCGGATGTCCTCCTCTGCAGTCCACTCACTCCTGGAGGATGGTCCAGGTCCCCGGCGGCCACAGCTCCGGGTACCTCCTCCCTCACTTCCCCTCCCTCCCCTCAGCCCTGTGCCCTGTGCCCTGTGCTCCAGCCAGGCCAAGCCCCGTGGGTGTCCCCTGAAGCCTGCAGGCTTGTCACGGGCTGGACTGTACTTTCTTTACTGCCCCCAAGGTAAAGGCTTCAGTGCCCTCCCTCAACTTGTTCCCTGACCCTCAGGAAAGCCCACCCACCCCGTGATCAGCGGGAGCTCACTTTTGTCTGGGGTCTCGTTCCTCTCTCACATCCTCATATTGTATGCTTAGCGCTCTCTCTCTCTCTCTCTCTCTCTCTCTCTCTCTCTCTCGCTTCTTTTTAGGACAAACACGACCTACACCTGACACAGCCGTGGTCCGGGGGTCCTCACATGAGCCACGACAGAGTGGAGCTCAGCGACGGCTGAGTGGGAAGGGGTGGGTGCAGGACCAGGATGAGTAGGGCCAGATGGGGGCACGAGCACAGTTGCCTGGTGCGTTCCCAGGTTGAGAAGTGGTCCACATGAACCCTCCCTCCGTCCAGCATCCAGTCCAGCATCCCAGGTCCTTCGGGCTCAGTTCCCACAGCCTACCCCCGCCTCCGCTATCCACCCTCATCCTCCTGCCCCCAGTGGGCCCTGGGCTCTGAGGCCGCGTCTCGCTGCCCTGTTCTCCCTGTGTGGATTCCTCTTCCTCAACCTCCCCACCTCCCTGGGGGTTCTCCCCACCCTCAGGGCCTTGGTCAAACCTCTCAGAATCCACAGCTTTTCTTTGCTAGCACCTGTGCTTTGGGTTTCGCGGGCTCTTAGGAAAGCTTGTTGCCTTGTGTCTGTGTGTCGTAGGGTGGGGGCATGTATGTCACTTGTCTAACAAAATACGTTTGCATCCACAGCTTGATACGCTGCAGACAGTGTTCTACATGCTTCCACACATCGACTCGTTGCACACACCTAACCATCCTAAAAGGAAGGTATTATTACCGTCCCTGGATTATAGATTGTAAAACTAAGGCACAGGGAGGTTACGTTACTTGTCCATGGTTACACAGAGAGAAAGTTCTAGAGATAGGATTTGAGCCCAAGCAATGTGACCATGCTACTTATTGGGATCGCGTGCAAGTGCAGATGGGCTGCTCCCCCCAGGCCCCCAGGGAGGCTCTCAGCAGAGCAGGGGTGTATGTGGGAGGCTCCTTTGTCAATGCTGTGGGACAGAGAAAGTCAATTGCTGCAGGCTTGTCACGGGCTGGAGTGTACTTTCTTTACTGCTGGGCACATCTGGCCATGGAGGCGGTTCCAGAGGCCTGGCCTCTACCCTGACAGCCAACCCTGGGCCGGCCACGTGACATCAGTGTTCTCACGTGCAACTGACGAGGATGACACCTTTAAGGTTGCCCTGGGCATGTGGCAGGTGACTCCCCGGAGTGCCCTCAACAGTGCCTGGCGTGTGGTGGTCCTTGAGGAATAGCTGCGGCTCTGCCCAGAACTCTTGCCCGCTCTCCTGGGCCTGAAACAATGTCGTCAGCCCTTTCCGTAGACGCAGTGGGGAGTGAGGTCAGGGCAGAGAATCCATCGTCACCAACTGGAACTGAAAACCGAGAGGTGCAGAGGCTCCTGGAAATGGGAGGAGAACTTGCCCGAAAGCATTTGGCCCAGGGTTCTGGGAGGCCTGGCTCTGAGCAGGGCACCCTCTGAGGCCCCACGGGTTTGTGACGTGTGCCTCAGCAAAGGAACTGAAAAGGGGACCTGAAAGATGTGTCTTCGCAGTAGCAGGCCAGGGAGCCCTGGGGTGGAGGAGCGTCTCAGGCCCCAATCGCCGAACGGCGGCCTCCCAGGGATGGTGGCCTCTTGGGTGGACAGTCAGGCCCCAGTGGTGCTGTGGGCTGGGATCTGAATGGCAGATCCCCTCGGTTTAACTGTATGGTGTTCGATAAGATTAAAAGATGCCAACAATTACCATGTGTTTGCTACTGGAGATTTCTTACCAAAAATTTCCAGATCTCCAGCCACTGGTGGGCACCGTGGTGGGCCTTCCTGCCCAGCGGCTATCAGCAGGACAGAAGCGGCTGGTGCACGCGTGGTGGGTCCACTCAGCTCCTTTCCGCTCCAGCCCCACCCCCCCAGGCATTTGCAGGTGTGTTATGACAGGCAGGTGGGCCCAACACTCTGCTTTGACAGAAAGGGAACCGAGGCCCTGCCTGGCATGGTGGGCCCCATGACTTTACACCAGCACGCGGTGGAGCTCCGAGGAGACCCCAGGTCACCTGGCAGGTACTGTCACACCTCTGGATCTCTTCCTTTGCCTTGGTGTCCTGGTGGGAAGGGCAGAAGAGCAAGGGGACATGGTCGTCTTTTAGCTTTAGTTGATAATGATGGAGAGAAATAGCCAAATATCTACAAATATCAGACTTCACTGTCCGGGGATTCCTTTGGACAAACATGCTTGGAGGGTAGCCAGGGCCCTCTGGGTTGGCCCTTCCTGTGGTGATGGTCATTCCTGTTATAATTGCTGTCCCTCTACTCCAGGTGCTGCATGATGGAAAACAGCCTCTTTAGCCACAACCGGGCTAAAGATTTGCCGTCATGGTGGCCCAGGCTGTGCCCGTACCTTTTCTGTAATGCTGTCCCTCTCACTTTCACCTGATGACATCTTAAATGTGGCAATGTCAGGGGGGTCAGGCTTTAAGAAGCCACCCAAACGGATAGCCCAACATGAGAGCCTCGGCCCCCACCTGGACTGTCTTTGAGGACCAGAACTGGACATCTCCATCCTCCTGGCCCACGCCTGGCAGTGGCAAGCATTCCAAGTGAGTTTTGTGGAATGAAAAGTGTCGAGGTTCCAAGACGATGCTCTTGCTCACCTTTGCGACCCCGAGGCGTTTCTCACACCGGCTGACTTGCAGGGCGGAGGGAAGAGCAGCAGGGAGCAGCCTGTGTGGGCAGCCGGGAATGACAGCCCTGAAAATGGGGGAGCATTTCCAGGGAGAGATGGCGCCCCCAGGGAAGGGACTGGAGGCCCCAGTGGGCCGTGGAGGGGAGGCGACTGAGTGTCACAGAAGGCAGGGGGAGGACGCTCTGGTGTGAGAGGCCCCACGCCCTCCTTCAATCTGAAAACAAGGGCTGGGCCTCGGCAAACTCCTGCCAAAGACACCCCCAGGTCTGTGTGGCATCCCCCATCCTGTCCTGGGGGCCGGGGGAAGCGGAAGTTAACCAGAGACAAATAGCTGTTGGTCCTTAACTGCCAAGGTTACAGTCTGACTCCCCTCGTCACTGGCGATGATCTCGGATGGGTGTGTTTTCTTGGCACAGTCTGTCTTGTTTCCAGGAGAAGTGGCCGAGCACAGACAGCCGGGGTAGGCAGCGAGGTTTCACTTGACCTTGCCTCGGTCAGCTGTGGCTGCTGTGACGAATACCCAGACAGTGGGACTCAGCCAACAGACATTTATGACCCTGAAGTCCAAGATCAGGGTGCTGGCAGGCCTGGGTCCTGGTGAGCGCTCTCTTCCTGGCCCATAGGCGGCCACCTTCTCGCATGTCCTCAGGTGGTAGAAAGAGAGGCCGCTCGTTTTTTCTCTTCTTTAGAGAAGGTAGCCTCCCACGGGTGGAGACTCAGGACCTCGTCTGAACCTAGGACTCCCCACAGGCCCCACCTGCTAGTTCTATTATGTTGGGGGTGGGCGTCAACCTGTGAGTGTGTAGGGGCCACGCATCAGCCCATAGCAAGGTCATTGGGCTCAGTCTCCCTTAAATCAATGCACAAATCCCGAGGTCCACTTAGGGGACAGTGTGCCCTGTGCTCCCTCCAGTCACAGGAAGCCCACTGCCTCTAGGCCCTGTCTCACTTGAGTCTCTACCTGGCCCCCCCTGGCTTAAAAGTCCTGGGGTGGCCCCTCACCCCTTCTCCTTTGACCTCGGCGTGAATCCCAGCTCTGCCGGGGTGCACAGGAGCCTGCAGCACTCACCCCCTGCTGTGCATCTTCTGCCCTCGCCACCTGCCTTCTAGCCCTCTTCCCACCTGCCCCCCAGCTGTCTCTTTTCCTGACAGGCTCTAAGCACCCCTGGGACTTGGCACCTGTGTCCCCCCTTCCCCTGCCTGGTCACTGGGCTGACTCTGACCTCTAGGCCACGCATGCCTCAGCTCAGGTGTCATTACCCTGATCCGGCCACCATCCCACTCTCGTCTGAATTAGATGCAACTTTGTCCTCCCACAGTGAACGGGGCCTGCACCTGCCACCTGTCACCTGAGTGCTCTAGTAACTGCCCGCTGAGGCTCCAGCTGCTGTCCCAACGGTGAGCTCTAGCCAGGAAGGGCCATGCCTGCCTTGTTAATGATGGTGTGTTCAGTGTCTGGCTCCAGGCAGAGGGGGCACTTGGTGACACTTATGGGAACGAGTCAAAAGGTGAATTAAGAATGTCATCCAAATGCCGAATGTTTTCTCTGATATAAGGTGATTGACTCATAATGGGGTAGGGAGGGAGAGCATGGGACAAATAGAGGAACTCTAGATAGGGCAGAGAGGTGGGAGAGGAAGGGATGGGGCAGGGGGTTAGCAATGATGGTGGAATGTGATGGACATCATTATCCAAAGTACAGGTGTGAAGACACAAATTGGTGTCAACCTACTTTATATACAACCAGAGGTATGAAAAATTATTCTGTATGTGTAATAAGAATTGCAGTGCATTCCACTGTCATGTATTTAAAAAATAAAATCAATAAAAAAAAAAAAGAAAGTCATCCTCAGGTCCATAACCTGGTCTCGCTGGTTCTGACAGTCTTGATGATGCTTCCTAAGTGGAATATATATTTTTTTTAAAGTTGAATGTTGAAAATGGCTAACTGCTCACAGGAAGATGTTCATCTACTGTTCTAAAAAGGGATCGAAATACACAAATGGCTTTGTATTCTTCTGTTGCTACAGTATAAATGGACTTTCCCACCATCTGGATGGATTTTCAGGTTCAGCACTCAGTGACAGAAGTGACTCTGGGAAAAATCACCTAATTTTTCTGTGTCTCAGTTTCCTCTTCTCTAAGATGGAGATACTAATGAAACTCATCTGCGTTGTTGTGACAATCAGTCTACATGTTTAAAAAAGTGCTTGGAGTAGCCCCACACCAATAGAAGCATGAAATACAAATTGTTAAATGAAGTAAATAAAATGCAGATTTCACCCACAGCATGGTGGTCTCCTAGAGGTTGACTCCCTCCTGGGGCAAAGCTTTGGCATTGTCCCAACGCAAGGCAAGTTCAAGGCAGAGGTGTGTTCATTTTCAGTGTGTCCGTCCTCTGTTCTTTCCCCCTTTTCACCTTCTGTGGTGTTTTGTCCTTCAAAGTCTCACCTTTTTTCCTTCTTCACCATCTAGCAACAATTTCTTTCCTTTCTGTTGAAGGTCAGTTCATACTCGAGTGTAAATGATAGGGTTCCACGTGACTCCAAAATCAATGCCTTAACATGAAGTGTCCTGAGTAGCCTGGAGTCCAGGAGGGCAGGGACCACACACTGTCCACGCTGATGTTCTCCTTGGCTCTGCTTAGCCCGCGCCGGCCTGATTCACCATGTTTATAGGAGAGGAGGCGGGGGAAGGGCCAGACCAACCAAGTCAAACATGGAGAAATCCTGGAGAATCACTGGGTGGAGAGGGGACGATGTGCCACCGGCATTGAAAAACAGTGATGAGTTTAGAATAAAAAAGTCAAGATCCTGGCCAGCTCACACTGCCACTCTAAGGCTATGGAGCCTCAGATGCCACATGATCCGACCTCAAAGGAGAACTGTGGTTTAAGAGTCCGGGTGGCAGTGGCCAAAGATTTAGACAGCAGAGCTCAGCGGGGGACCCTTGGCAGGAGGCCGCTTGGAGCCTGAAATGACACCACTGTTTGAAGTTACATGCAATCAAAGAAAAATGCAGAGCGAGGGGGAGAAAAACCACTTAAAATTCAGGGTTAGCATCCCTTGCCAAACTTTTTTTTTTTTTTTTTAAGGAGGGAGGACCCGATCCAAAGCCCATGAAGCAAACAGGAAAGTGGCGTCTGAGCCGAGCTGCTCTGTGGGCAGATGGCGGCCTCTTGGGTTTCAGAATGAGTTGGTTGTTGCATAAACAAGGTGGCCTCTGGGCGGGCGCAGCCCACTCTTCAGAGCTACCCCATGCCTGGCGCTCGGGTCCCTTCCTGTCCACGTGCTTCAAGGTCATGCCCTGCCCTTCGGGCCCTTCAATCTGGGCACTGCCTGGTCACTTGCAACCTGCTGCTCAACAGTGTCTCAGTCAGAACTCATGATCCCAAGTGGTGCTACAGGTGGTCAGATGTCTTTTACAAAAGGTAAACCCGGAGTTTCATCTGGGTGGGCTTCCTGCACAAGGTCAGCTGGGTGGGTTGCCTGCACAAGGTCAGGTGCAGAGGAAACGGCCCAGGTAAGAGCAGGACACAGGGTCCGGTCCTGTTTGGTCATTTGGCAGGAGAGTCAGACAGCAGGAAAGAGGAAGGCATGGCTGACCTTTGAGGGGTGGTGTGAAAACCCTACCCGAAACGTCCCCTGTGGCTGCTGTGTGCCTCTGAGTGACAGCCAGCGCCATGCGCATGAACACAGCCGGCTCCACATCCTGCCAGCAGCAGGGCTTGGGGCCAGTCTCTGAGCATCACTGAGCTGCGGCTTCCTCGCCTGCAAAGTGCAGATGGTAGTTGGTCTGCCCCTCGGTGGGGGGGGGGAGAGCTAACGCCTGTGAAGTGTTCTGAGCAGTTCCCAGTGACAAGAGTGTCACAGTGTCAGCACTTTCATAGTCACGTTGTGAGGGACTTATTTATTTTTATTCCCATTTTACAGATGATGAAGCAAGACACAGAGAGGCCATTTGTCCCAAATCCAGTGAAGAAGGAGAACTGGGGTTTGACCTGGGGCTTCTGATGCCTAATCTGTGTTACTCGAGGCCATGTGCATTTGTCCTTGTGCCACGGGGCTGGGACCTGCCTGCCTCTGCCGACACCGAGTGGTTATACAGTGTGCCAGGACCAGCACTGGCAGGAACCCCGCCGGGTGGTCAGGGCCGCTGGGCTTCCTCTCGACGTTTCCCTACTGGTGGAGCCTCCGGCCTCCCCTCCACCTGCCCTGTTGGCTCTAACTGAACTGTTCCCAGCGCCTGGGGAATAGGGACCGCCCCTGAGCACGGCCATAGCCCGGCCACTGGAACCCCACCCAGGCCCCCGAGCATGGGAGAGATCAGTTTGTAGACCTCCTTCGGGTTCCCCAGGTCTTTCCTTTTGCTGGGTGGCTCTGAGGTCAACATCATGGTGAGTCCCAGCAGGTACACCCCCGAGTCCTAAGACTGGAGTCTGAGAGGGAAGATCGTGGTAACCAGAGTCATTGTGATGAATGCACGGTTACAAATGGAGGTAAGGTATCTGAGGGAATGAAAGAGGTTTGGGAGAGTGAGGAGTGAAGAAAACTTGACTTGGGAGTCAGGAAGCCTCCTCAAGAAGCTGTGATCTGAGAGGCAGTGGGAGTCAGCTAGTGGCAGGAGGAAGACAGAGCTCCCAGGCACACTGAAGGGCAAGTGAAAAGGCCCTGGGGAAGAGACATTTTGGTTAGGTGAGAATGCAGAGGGACAGGGACGTGTGAGTTGAGGCTAGGGACAGGCAGGGGCTGGTGTCAAGAGTCCCAATGTTACTTTAGTAAAGGCCCATTTCAAAGGAAATGGGGAGCCACTAGAAAGCTCTAATTTGGGAGGTGACAATGAGGAGTTCATACAATTGGGTTTATACTTTTAAAGGATTCCCAAGGCTGTTGACTGGATGGGAAGGGTCTTAGTTTCAAGAGACTAGTCAGAGGCTATGGACTTGGGAGAGGTGAGGGTGCACCATGCTTGAGACCAAGGTGCGGGGGGGGGTGATGGAGATGGATCTGTGAGCTCTTCCTAGGTAAACCCAGTCCCAGGTTTATGATAGACACTGGCAATACAGACGTGGGTACAGCATGAAACCCTCTTCCAAGGGAAGAAAGAGGGAGCTACACCATGACAGAGGCGTGTGACAAACTCAGCTGGCTGTGTTGGAGGAGGGGAAGTGGCCGCAGCTTTGGCCTGTACCATACCCACAGCCTGGCAATGGGACTTCCTGCTCTTCCCATCAAGAGACCAAGGCCACGTCCCTACCCTTCCCATCTGGGCTGGTCTCTTTTGTCAGTAAACCTGGAGAAGTGATGGCGGGTCAGTGTTGAGCCTGGGCCTTCTGTGCTTCCACCATTTCTAGGAGAACAAACCCAGGCAAACCTCCCTAACAACAAGACAGATGGCCCAATTACCTCTGTCACACTGGCTGATGGAAGGACAACTACCAGATATGCAACCAAACATCTTAGAACAGCGACCCCCAGGTATGTGGCCAGAGGAGCTCAGGAGCCCGAGCCAGTTCAACCAAGATCAGCCGAGCCTGCCCCAGAGGAGCAGAGCGGTTCATCCAGCAATAGCCAACACTTACTGCTTAAAGCAAGCATTGGCCAACAGCGGCCTGTTGGCCACCTGTTTTTATTTTACCTAAAGTTTTATTAAAATGCAGCCATACCATTTATTGGTGTATCATCTACAGCTTCTTCAGAGTTACTGAGTCAGAGCTTGTATTGCAACAGAGACCACATGATATGCAGAGCCTTGAATGTTACTATGTGGCCCTTGAAGAAAGTGCTTGCTGACCCCTGGGTTCAATCTATTGAGTCTGGGGTGGTTTGTTACACAGCGCTTGCTAACTGATATAAAGGGGCCCGGGAGGCACAAAGGAAGGGTGAGTTGGCTTTCCACGGACCACGACATGGAGTGGCGGAGACAGGCTGAGTGGAGGAAGTGACGCTCACTCTGTCTTGAGCTGTGAGTCAACCGGGCTCAGAGGGAAATGATGAGGAAATTGAGGGTCAGGAGTGGTTGTGATCAGGCCCAGGTCATGTGGCAGGTTTCCTGGTTCCTGTTCAGTGACACTTTTCCCCTTTTTCTGGTAGGCAGTTTAACCTTTTGAGGAAGAGAGAGGGCCCTGGGACCAGAGAGAGCTAGCTGTGCATTCCAGCCTTACCACCCCTGAGCTGTGTCACGTGGGGCAAGTTGCTTAGTCTCTCTGTTCTCTAGTTTCCTCATCCAAAAAGTGTGGGAAATGACAGTCTCATGGAATTGTTATGAAGTGACGTAGTGGGCACAGGTTCTGGGTGTTGCTTTATAGCTATGAGCAAAGCTGTAGAGTTAAAGCAGCTCAGAGAAGCTAGGTAGGTTTATTTAACCAGGGTGGGTTCTCAGCTCAACGGAAGTTGCTCTACTGCTGGGATTTCTAGCAGGAGGGGTGGCGCGGGCATCAGACCACATCACCATGTGTGCCCCGGAGCCCTGCCTCATGTGCAGGCCACCAGTCTCACCTTGGGGACTCCCACCAGAGCAGTCTCCTGTGCTCTCTGTCTACTGCCTACTCGGCCACCTGTGAGTCCACCCAGTTCTGTGGCCGAGGGATTCAGTCCCTTGGTACTCACTTCCAAGTCCTGTTTCTCTGGGTTGGAACGGAGCACGTCCACCTGCCCATTTAGATGACGAGGACAACTGCAGGCTGGGGATCCGGATCTGAGAAAGTTCTCCTCTTAAGCACCTACCACCTGCCAGGCCCTGCACTGGGCGGTGGGAGTGGGGGATGGACCAGTAATTTTCCCAGAATGGAGTCTCCTGTGGGAGGGGGGCTGGCACCCAGAGGCCTTCCACCTAAGAGTGTGGGTGAGGAGGCAGAGGGAGCAGGGGCTCTAGGGGGCACAGTGCTGCCTGGGCCCGGGAGACCCCCAGGCTGAGGGTGAGCTGAGCCTTCTATAATAAGCAGGAACTCGCAGACACAGAGGGAGAGGAGCAGCCTCTGGGAGAGGATGAGCGTGAGAGAGGTGGGGGGTGAGGCAGGTCAGCCTGAGTGGGGGACGAGGTGCTCAGTGCTGGGCAGGGGTCAGGGGCCAGGGCAGGCGACGTCAGGCCTCGTCGACAGGACGGAGTGCAGGGGGCCTGGTGAACGGTCGCTCTGCCGATGGAGGACGGAGGGATGGGTTTCTGCTTTCTCAGGCCCCAGGGAGGATGGGGTACGATGGGCCCATTCCGTCCCGAAGCCCACTGAGGTTTCATCATCTGGTCACCATCCATTTCTTACCAAACCCAACTGGAGATTTTATCATGTTGCTTCATAACGTCTGGTGGGACAGGGAGCGGCTGATAAGCCACACGGAGTGTGGGGTAGGGGGCGGAGAAGAGGAAGAGGAGGTGGAGAGGTCCCATCCACGGCTCCAAGACAGGAGAGTCGGGGTGCAGGGACGAGTCCAGTCCCAGGGCTCAGCGGCCATGTCTGGTGAGCATCTGGAAACCCGCTCTGTTCTTCCAGATGAATGAAGAAGTGAATCCAAACCTGGAAGTGGATATAAAAAAAAAAAAGTCCCATCATCACTTTGGGAGCCGTAATGTCCAAGTGTCACAAAAGAGAATTTCTCAATGAGGAACTGGCCGGCGAGGGGGAAAAGTACCCTTCAAGAAGACTTCCTGCTAGAAGTCAAGTGGAAGGCCAGCAAAAGTTGCACCACGGAGGCTGAGATCTTTCTGGGTTCATTTTCCGAGTTTGGAGCAGTGGGTTTCTCCAGAGCCCACGCTCTGCAGCCCTCCCCAGGTCCCCACACTCGGGCTGTAGAGTTGAAGCCTCAGTCGGTCAGTCTGTGCAGGGGCCCTGCTGGCCTTGGTGGCTCCTGGGTGATGGGTCTGCAGGGAATGAGGGGGCTGAGGACCTCCCTAGGTGAGCACTCCGAGGTGCGCAGTGCTTGCCTCTGCTCTCCGCACACTCGTGGGAGCCATCTCCAATCTGTCATTTTGGACAGGGGACAGCTGACCTTCAGGTCTGAGCTCTTAATCTTCTCCCCACACAAGGACCTCAGGAGGGTTGGCTCTGGCCAGCAGTGGTCAGCTCTGGCCTCTCAGTGCCTGGCAGGCCCCGTGATGGGCGCATGGTGGTGGGGTGTGGCCTGGGGGGTAGGTGCCCCTGCGGGGACCCTGCTCCCCACCTCCTGATTTTGTCACCTCAGGAAGCTCTTAACATTCCTCAGCCTGAGTTTTCTCATTTCTGAGGAAGGGGGACCCCAGTGCTCCCCTCACAGGGAGTGAGCCATCCACGGAGGTAAAGGGTACAGATGTGCTCAGCCACCGCCAGGGTCAAGGGATCGCTGCCATGCTGTGCTCACTACCCGCTCTGCACGCGGGACCGTGCCAGCCTGCTTCCATGGGCCGGGGACAGCACCCCGCCCTCAGCTTTCTTGCAGTCTTGGGAGCGGGAGACCCGGCAAAGGTGTGGGGTCACATCTAAGAGGTTCCCAACTCCCTTCCAGGGGGTGGGGACGTGTCTGTGAGGCTGTGCCTGTGTTGTGCGTGTGTGTGCGCGTGTATGTGTGAAAATGTGAGGAAGAGTGTTGGTTGTGTGAGATGGGGTCGTGTGCATGTGTGAGGTGTGTGCTGGGTGTGAGCAGGTGAAGCAGAAGCGAGAGGAGCATGTGTGTGGGGTGGGGGTGTGCCTGGGGCCGGGTGTCTGGGAGCACAAATGAGGATGTGCATGGCTTGCAGGGGACACCGGATGTGGGGGTGGGGGACAGCAAGCAATTATCTTCAAGTCATTCAACAAACACGTGCCGTGGGTCTGGCCCAAGTGTGGAGTTTGGCCCAAGCAGCGGGGGACCCCCTGAGTGGTCACTAAACACTGGCCTTCACCTCTGGATCGTCTGCAGGGCCCACCAGGCTCTGAGCCTTGGAGGCAGGCCCTGCCAACAGCATGCCCAGTCCCTTGTCACTTGCTGTCTGGTGGAACAGGGAGGTCCCAGCAGACCAGAGGGCAGGAGAAAGAGCGACATCTTGGCTGGCAGCTGTGCCCTGCCCAAGCGTGGCTCCACAGGGTCCCCTTCCAAGTGTCCAGGGTTGCCACCTCCTCCTGCTCCCTCAGCCGACGGTGGGCATGGCCCCACTGTGGTGGTCCTGGGCAGCAACCCGTCTCCCCCTGTGGTCTCGCCCTTCACTACCATTCCTCATGGGCACCATCTGGGGCTAATTCTGCTATTTGCCAGCACCTCCTGGGGTACCCGCAGGTTCTGGCTACCGTCAGCTACTCCGTGAGGCCCAGCTTCTTTTTCCTGGGCCTCCAACCCTGAGACTGAGGCTCCAACCCTGCAAACCCCAGGTCCGTCGTCCCCTCTCTTGCCAGCTCGGGTGGTGCCGGGTCCCTGACCCCTGCTGGCAGGGGAAGGGGATGGTGAGAATCTGCACCCAGCTGTGCCCTGCCAGGGCCCGCGGCTCCAGCGCCTGCAGTTCCTCCTCCAGCTTGGCCCTGCCTTCCCCTCAGCTGGCTGCTTCTGCATCCTCTCTCCTCGGCCAGGACACCCAGGGGGCCTCAGAGCTCATTCTGTGCAAATGTGCACAGAGCACCTACTGTGTGCTGGCCCTGCTCCAAGCAAGAAGAGCCCAGCAGTTAGACAATAGCCCTGCCACCTGGACCTGTGCCCCTCGGGCATAGAGAGATGATGCTCAGGGAAGCACCGTCCTGATCCCTCGAGGGCTGTGTGTGTTTTGATGAGAAAGGAAAGAGAATAAGGAGATAAAGAGCAGTGGGTGGTCACGGAGGGCATGTGGAGAAGGTGACATTTGCACAGGCTGGGAACAAGTGAGGGAGGGTCCCCCAGATGTACAGTAAGGATGTGAGGAGGGGGGATGGCAGCAGGTGCTAAGGCCCTGAGGTGGCAGCCTGTGGGCATGTTCCAGAAAACAAGAGGTCAGAGGATGGGGAGCGTGGGGCAGGTGTGAGACCAGGAAGGGGCAGACCAGTCTGGCAAGGTGGCCATGGGACGGCTTGGGAACTTATTCTCAGTGAAATGGGAGGCTTTGCCGAGGCAGAGAAGTGATGAAGGGTGAAGGGTCAATCACTCTGGCTGTCGTGGAGAACACGAGGGGTCAAGAGTGGAATGGAACAGAGAGGGGCCTGTCCAGGGACAGCGAGGGTTCCACTTTTGCCACCAGCAGCGCATCAGATGGAGTGCAGGGGCATGAGGCTCCTGGGGTTACCACCTGCAGCCGTGTGAGGCTGTGCAAGGGGTTCATTTTTGCCTGAGCTTCAGTTTCTACAGCCATAAACTGGGGGTAATAATATCTACCTTGGGGTGCTGTGAGCATGCATGTTGCTCAGGTATTTTTTTTAATCTTCACAGAAAACGACAGACAACTGTTGGTCCCACATTAGGGATGAGCACACTGAGGTCCAGTTTCTGAGGCAGTAATTTGCCGGCCTGACTCTAGACATTCGCAGACACACCTCAGCTCTCATGGCGGGTTCCCGGGGCGTGGACCCACCCCGAGTCCTGTTTCTCCCACAGGGCTTCCAGGCTCCGACCCCTGTGACCAATGGGAGCCCAGGTCCCTATTCCTTGACAACCTCAAGTTGATGATTCTTTCTCTTTGGCTCTGAAATCAGTCCCCATCCCATCAGGAGGGCCCTGCACACCTCCCCTGGACCCCGTTCCTCTCTCGGCTGCAGGCGGATGGGAA